CAAACCTCCAGAGTAGTCTTTCCTTCTGGGGACCAGTCACATCAAATAGTGAGCAACTCACAGTGATATCCCAGACATTTCAGAACTCAAAACCCCTTAATCTTAGTTAAGCACTCAGCTAAATGTCAATGTTTTTACAGTTTGATAAAGCAGTTAGGCCCAGAAGAGATAGTCAAGCTGGGAGATTTCTATGACACTTCCAACTCAAGTGAAATACAACTTATTTTAAAAATTCATAGAAACGTAAAGCTTTGTTGTTAATTATTATTGTTTTTCACAATGGAAAAGATAGTCATTAAACAGTGGCTGGTGTGACCAATTTAAAAAATTAAAGAATTATTGTACTTTTAAAGTATTCTTTACTCATCTATACTTGCAGGTGAATTTGTCATGACTCCATTGTCTTTTTCTATCAGACACAAAACTGTAGAAGAGTACTTTTCAGCCTTGAGGAGAAAAGAGATTCTTTATTTTCTTTTAAGGAAATACAATTTCTTGATACTGCACTATTGAATTAAATTGTTTTGATTATAATGTTACTTTTAAATATGTATAAAAATAAAATAGGGCCAAACTCCTTCTGTTTATAGCCATTATGCAACTATAAAACCAAACCTCTTTACAAATTAAATACAAACAAAATGGCAAAACCATTACATTCAAATGAACAACATTAATTTAATGTGGCCAATAATGTTTTGGGTTTTTTTCCTTTCTTCCTTTCTGAGTCTAAACTGTTTCACAAATCATGAGGATGGTAATAGTGCCAACACTGAAGGATCATCCATCTGCGTGCAATTCCCTGCCCCCATGCGCCAAGCAGAGACTCCACCCTCCTGTACTTTCTCAGTCATATTCCTGCAGATCCTTTAGATGCCCGTGTCCATTGGCATTGGACTTGTCCATGGCATAGATGCATCATTTCAGGATAAATTCCAACTCACTTTTTTCAACACTTGCTTGGATGTGGGTTTTAGTGTTTTCATATTTGAAACAGGTCACTTTTTTTTTAAATTTTTTTTAAAAATTTTATTATTTGTGTGTGTGTGTGTGTGTGTGCGTGTACCGTCAAATCAGATCTGACTGGTACAGGAGGAGATTGTCCCTCCTTCCCCGGCAGAGCATCTGGTGTATTCGAACCGTGCGCCTCTGGGATTGCAGTGCAGCTTCTTGCCACTAGGCCACCAGAGCTCTCCTGAAACAGGTCACTTTTAAGATTACTTGGAATATGCTTTCCTTAATGTTTGGGATGGGAACACAACATTAGGAACATCTCAGTATATTTGCTGTTTCAAAAATAAATGCAATAAAGAAATTCCTATCAACTCAGTAAGTTGTACCAAACTTTGACATTGGTGCCCAATGGGTTGTATCTCTTAGTTCTTTTCAGTACTGTAGCTGTTCAGGGGTTTTCATTGTTCAGTAAGAAAGCAGCATTCCAAGTTTTGCCACTTACTAGTTTTGATGAATCGTAGTGTCAGAAATGTGGATCTGGTGGTAACACATAGAAACATCAGGGATAATGTATTAAATTTGAGGTTAGAACAGGATGGTTTTCTCAATTTCTATGTATTATTTATGAAATGCTTTTTAGAATACAGTATCATACTATTGTGGTTTGTTGTGTGTACCATTGAATCAGAACTGGCCCACAGCTGGCCCTCCAGGGGATTTTTAGAGGCAGTATAATCTGTGGGAGGACACTGCCCATGCTTTTCCTATGAATCAGCTAGTGGATGCAAACCTCTTGCCTTTGGGATTACAGCGCAGCTTCTTACCTTTAGGCCATCAGAACTCCCATACCTATTCAGTTTGGCAGATGAATTATTGTCTGAATGCATGCCTTGGCCAAAACGCCACAACTACAACTATTGCTTTATGAGGCTGAAGCCAAGTCCCTCCTTGGAGGCTAGGATTTTGAAGCTCTGCCTCACATGAGCACGTGGCCAGGAGAGATCGATCCTTGGAGAAGGACATCATGCTCAGGAGAGTGGAT